AATGCAAGGGAAAAGCAGAACCTGCGCCTATACATCATCTGTCTGTGTCTGAAGTTGCCTTTCGCAAGCTTTCTAGTAATAGCAGCTGCCCCTCCTCCTTCCTTGCCTTAATGCCACACCAAGATATTTTTCCTAATCCTTATTCTTGGCAATGCCCCTCCCCTGTCCCTTGATGGGGACAAATCCACCTTACAACACAAAATTCTCAAGCTTGAATTATGCATGTTCAAATTGTGAAGCCCCAGTAAACTTTTCAGGTTGTGAAAAAGAAAACATGGCAATATGATAAACTGCCAGTGAAAAAAGGTCCCAATCTATTTGTTGAGTTAAAGATTGCCTAGGTCACATGTGAAGTCACCTCGCTAATTTATTTCGTAGAGATGACAGCTACTAAAAATTCTGGATTAATCAAAACCCCATTCAGCTATTTGTGTTCAGCATCCTTAAAGAACTGGTGCATGAATGCAAAAGACTAGAATAAGGACAAATAGAAAAGCAAATTAATCTAAAACCGAGTACCAAAACTCTCATGCTTTGAATAACTTATAAACTGAGGACAAGATCAGAAGAAGCACAGTCTAATAGTAGGACCTATTAGTCCGTCGCGGCTACGATGAAAATAAAGAATAAAACACTCTTCAAGCTAGGTCTTCTCCTCTCCATTAGTCCACAAACCTCATTCTTCTCCCTCAGTGGACTCAACAGCCCACCTCAGAATAAAAGCCTTTGCCTTTTTGTGTTCTGGATAATTTTGAAGTGGACCAGCCTTCTGAATTCTAAGCAGAACAACCCACTATATCTCAAAAACGTCTGATCGAATGCATGTAAGATAATCTTGTCTCCTGCCTGAAAAAGCTGTATCAGAGCACATCTTTGCTGACACAAATTTATCAAGGCAAGCTTTCCATAACACACTAATCCACCACTCACAAGACAGAAAACACAAATACAAATTTTCTGCATATCTGGGTCAGCCTGTACCGTCTCTGTATAATAACTTAGATGTCATCTGACTACCAACGAGTCTTGAGTGAGGACACTAGAACTCCATCATCCGATTCACTGAAATACATCACTAATGTAATATTTTTTTGCTACTACTAAACAAAGCTCTTCCTCTCATCAAAAAGATGTCAAAGTCTCTGTTTCTAGTTTTTAACTCTTTTTTGATGATATGGTTGTCTTTGGACAATTTTCATTCGTATGAAGAGGAGAGAACAATTACTTAATCTTTCTGGCCCTGACAAAAAGATCAGGAAACAGGAATGACAATATCAAATTCTGTTCCATTCTAGGCTCCAAACTAATTTGAAGATTCAACCCTGGGATCAATCTCTTGATGGAAAATGCCTTACTTCACAGTACATTGTGAACTTTTTGACTCTCAGATCTGTCATAAGGACAATTTTTAGTTTTTACTGCAACCCGATTTTGAGCCATTAATAATTTGGTGAGTCAAGACCAAGAACAGAAAGTATCAGGGAAGGCACACTGAAGGCCGGTGGAGTCAGCCAGCCTCCTCATAAGCTTAACAAAAGCCTAATTCTGTGGCAAGAAAGCAGTCACATTCTGCATTAATGGGAACCTTTACTTTTTTTCCATTTCCAGCTTCTTACACCACATTACAGAATCACAGAATCACAGAATGGTAGGGGTTGGAAGGGACGTCTGTGGGTCATCTAGTCCAACGCCCCTGCCAAAGCAGGGTCACCTACAGTAGGTTGTAGAGGACCTTGTCCAGGCAGGTCTTGAATATCTCCAGAGAAGGAGACTCCACAGCCTCCCTGGGCAGCCTGTTCCAGGGCTCTGTCACCCTCAGAGTGAAACTTCTTAAAGTTAAAATCTTAGAGAAGGAAACAAAACAAAAATCAATGAAAAAAGCAAAGCAATATCCTGTTTTAATACAATTAAAGTACTATTTTTCTTAAGCACTGTTTTTTCTTCCTTTTCATCATATCACCCTGGGACAAAAAATTATTACACACAAAAAAAATGAAAAACATCTCCACATTTTTCCACAGAAAAATGAGATCATAACACAAACACATGTAACGGAATTCTCATTTGCTGAAGTATGGAACAGAGTACAATACTGTATAATGGAAGGATAACTGCAACCTTTTCTTCTTTCAACTATGAAGAAACTAGTTTATCTTAATTTTAAAGAATATTGTGAAGGATACAATTCTAAGGAACAGCTTTAAAGAATGTTGCTTGTTTCCATAAATGTCATACCATCTATACATTCCTATACTGAGGAGGCAATAAATTTGTTATCTGCCTAACATGCATCAAAAAAAAAAGGCGTTTAATATTAAGCAGCAGTGTGGCTGTAAGAATTTGTCTTGACAAAACAATGACTGACTTATTAAGTTAATCTCCATATTAAACAAAAGTACAGATATTTAGGTGGCAAAAGAAAGATATCCCGTCCTTTTATAAAAAAAGGGTAATAATCTACTTCTGGAATGGAAACAATATTTTAAAAACTACACGGCATATTACAAGCCATTTCTCCCACTTTTTAAAACAAAACCATCTGTTGTCTGCTGAGACATACAAAGCATAACATTGATTTCAGTAAGATCATTTACAGATATGGCATTGCCTTACTTTATAAATTGGTTTAAAATTACAGTTGATGCATATAGTTTTTTATAACTAGATTAGCCTGGTACTAATATAACTGTGTAGCTACTAGTTTGTTCCCATTTGTTTGCTCTCAAATAATTGTATAAGGTTTATGGACCAGCATCAGTAAATTACATCCTATAGAAATTTTGTAACTGCTGACCTATTATAAAAAGCTAAAATTCTGAGAATAATTAAATACATAGAACATGAACGTAATCTTTTAAAATATGTACTTTAAAAAATCTCCATAGAAATAAATCATAATACATATGATATTTCAGTTTAATCTTCTAAGAGGCTTTGATAACTTTGAAAAACACCATATTACAAAGCAATAAGGAAACACCCCACTTTGTGTAGGTATAGCAGAACAGATTATAAAATTCCTACTTCATTGCGAATTTCCTTGCTGGTTTCCTTTTCCACAACCTCCAGGCTCAGGGTTTGGATATAAAAAGAAAAATCATATAGGAGGGTTTTTTGGGGTGGTTTTTTTTATTATGTTTTTGGTTTTTTTTTAAATAGCAGTTAAAGGCTGACCTGATCAAATCAGAGCTGTAAAACACACTTTGAAGCCCCAAGGCCTTCCTAAATAGCAGTGACTCCCTGTGTAATCAGAGAGAGGACCCTTCTGTCCCTAGCATGGTGTGTGTGCTGTGGAAATCCACTGGGGCTAGAGACTGAACAGCTCACTGGGAAGGCAAGTCAGTCTGCAACCATTGTTGCGTAATGACTACAGCGGCACGGCATAGCTGGTGCGGAACTAGGGTGACAATAAGTCAACATACTTATTTCTGCACTTGCTCCCTGAGGTCTGATACTTCTTCCCACACAACAGAGCAACTACGCTACCCTTAGTTCAGGGGACAGGACCTCTGTCAACATGGCATTTGCTCGGGAAGGATCTGTTCCTTACGTTGGTCCAGCTCATGCAGAAGGTGACAGTCACAGACCGATCTTAGTTTCCTCCTCTTCAAGCAGTGAACATTTAAACCAGCTATGACACCTAGCACGATTAGTATGACAGCGTGATCAGAGGTAATGGTCTCACATCAGCCATGTGTACTCACAGAGCAGTAACATGGCACTTCCCACTGCTTCACCTAACTCACTTTCCTGTCAGTGTCAGGCTGCTCTCTCCCACAGACTGTGACCATAACTGTCTCTCCTACAGTAACAAAGGAACAAATTGAATTTTGCACACTCCAGAATGACATACTGAGAAGGTCCTGCCCAGTCCCATCACTGAACTAATCTTCAGTGCATGATCTTTTAACCTAGTCTTCATTCAAATAAAAGAAGTGGGGTATGAGTTTGATTTAGATTGCTCTCCTTATCATCAGACCAGATACATATCAATCCTTGCACTGACAGTCAGAACACTTACTTTATCATGTTACCATTGTAAAAATAAAGGCAAATTGAACATGTATCACAGGAAAGGAAAGTGTGTCTGCTGGCTGAGTACAGTATGGTTTTGGACACCACTAAAGTTATTACTCCTCAACTGAAATTTGGTAATTTTCTAGATTTTCACTTGAAAGTTTTTGGAGAAGGTTTGCAGGTACATTCTTAGGCTAGGAAGGAGAAAAGAAGCATGTTTTGCAAGAAACTAGATGTTTGAATTCCCGTCTGATTGATAGAATGTTTTTCACGGTGCAAGGGTGATATTGCAATATTAACTGTTAAGGTGCCTAGAGCCTTTGTATGCATCTTTTTATTATTTAAATATTGAAATAAATAAATCATCTCACTTAATCAACCAGCAATTCAGATTTGTTAGAATTCTTTCATTGATTTTGATGGTGCTGAACCCCAGATCTGTTAAAAGACTGCAGAAGAATAAGTCAGTCATAGTCTCTTGTAACTTCTAAAAGTAAATACGTCAGCTGTAAGAAATCAAAAGTTATCCAGATTTCTTTCATTCATTGGGTTTTTAAATAACTAATGGTGTATTAAATGCTTCACCGCAGAAGTCAGCACTTAGGCTTGGCTGAATAATAATTCAAAATTACAAGAACATGTATGTCAGTATACTAAGCTTCCACCCCAGAGGAGGTATTTCACAGAGGCTCAGAGAAAAAGGGGGGGGGGGGGGACACAATCTTAAAAATAATGTTACAAATGTGATCTAATACTTTGGTAAATATACAAATTAGTAAAACCAAGGAGTTCAATGCTTTGATATATTTAAGATCAGGAGAAATGAATCATCATTATTTAATATCAACTTCAAATTTTAAATGCCAAGTTCCACTAAAAAGGGTAGGGCCTAGGGAACTTTAAATTTAAACGATTATGATGAATAGAAACAAAAGAAACAATAAACTTATGGATGTTAAAATGCCTGAAAAAAGCCAACTTATGCAGCAGCTTCTTGTTTTGACAACCCTTTGATATTCTTCGCCAAATAATCATCTATGCCATTTTTGTCTTTGATCAAATGAATCCTAAATTTAAATGAAAAAAATTAAAAGAAACACTGTGAGGTGCTAACATAGACTTCTGCAGCATGTATAATGTATTAGCATTGCCAAGTAGAGCTAAATACTGAAATATTGACAAAGTAATATAACAGACATTCTATAAACACATACAAATATCTTTGTAATTTTTTGGTCTGTAGCTATTTCAAATCTTTATTTCTGAAAGAAAACAGACTTGATAATAGCTTTCAAGGACCCGGTTATCTGATATTTCTGTCTAATCTAGAAGAAATTGTGTATCAGCTAAATCAATAATAATTGATTAAGCTATCCATATTTAAACTGTTTTCTAAACCAGAACCATTACATTTTTGCATTATCAGTATGGACCAAAGTGGTCCAATCTATTTTGTATTTAATTTTTTCAAAACAAAAAAAAAGAAAAGAAACAAAAAAAAAAAAATCCCAAACCCAACTCAAAATGTTTTCCTTAGTGCAATGCAGAGTTTTAATACTGCTCTCAGCTTTCCACAGTTTGAGCAGCATATTGCAAAAGGTGGTCCACTAAGGGGAATAATCCAAAGGGCATTAAAATAAACAGCAAATATCAGAATGCATTAATCTAATTTTAAAATTTGAACTGCACATCATTTCACCTTTCACTTGAGCCATCATCGCTTTGCATCTCCAGTCTGATACACAAGAGATGCCTTGAATTTTAAAAGACAATATGCACTTACTGACCATAAAGTGTATTTAAATAGATTCTGGTATCCCAACTGTGGAGGATATTATCTTTATAAAAGTAATGTGAATTTATTTTTATTCTTCTTAAAAGAGCATAAAGATTGTCTGGTTAATCACTCAAAGATAAAAGAAATTCAACATTAGTGTTCCACATAAATCTATTACTTTCCTCTTTCTCTGTCTATTACACTGCTGTCTTTCATTATAGGGATGAGAGTAAATTCTTTCCATACTGTTAGCTAATATAAGCATCATGCTCCTTATTGCTCTGAGAATACCAAAGACACTTCATGAAGTTCCTTTAAATGAAAACAAAATAGCTAAGCAATGTAAAGATATTTTGACATGTCTGTATTTAAAACTATGTAATAGTGAAAACCTCCGGCACAAGTAGGGCACTTAAATTTGTTCCAGAATTTACTACAACTGAGCTGCACCAACACTGAATTTTGCTTTCAAGCTGCACAAA